CACACACACACACACACACACACACACACACACACACACACACACACCATTGCCTCCGAAATGATCTGAGCTCTAAAGAGCTTCTTCTCTTTCCAATACAAAGGTCCAGTTATATTTATTTCAAAGCAGTAGTCAAAAGATTTGGGGTTTGGGATTTTTCAAAGAGCATAACATTATAATGTTGATCCCTAGGAATTATGAGGAGAGCGGTGGGGGGAGCTATTTTCAGCCTCTAAACACTTTGTCTAAGTGCAGATTGTACTTTTGAGCATTTTTTCCCCTAGACCTGAGACTCGATGGAGTTCATCTCCTTGACATCAAAACACAAGAGTTCAGGATTCAGAGTGTTGCTTCATGTCTGAGAGCCAGTGAGCCAATGAAATAATAATAATAATAAATTGTCCTGCAAACAATGGTCGGCCACGTTTGAGCTCCTCTAAAGAAAGGAAAGGGGTGGCTTTGGTGGGGCCATCAGAAGTGGGCAGTGAGGGGCCTGAGCCGAGCCTACCCCCTGCGCCCCCATCCGCAGTAACAGCAGGTCCCAAAGCTCAGGGGAGAGGAATAAAGGTGTTTGTTTCTGTTGGTCTATCTGTCTGTGTGTCTGCTGAGTGAAGGCTACAGACCCTATCAAATCTACTCCTTTCTCTTTTCAGAATTCAACCAGACAGTCCAGAGTTCTGGAAATTTGACAGACAAAAGCAGTCAGGATCAGCTGCTGTTTCTCTTTCCAGAGTTCAGTCAACAGAGCCAGGGGCCTGGGCAGTCCGATGATGCCTGCTCTGAGCCCACCAACAAGAAGATGCGTCGCAACCGGTTCAAATGGGGGCCCGCGTCCCAGCAAATCTTGTACCAGGCCTACGACCGGCAAAAGAACCCCAGCAAGGAAGAGAGGGAGGCCTTAGTGGAGGAGTGCAACAGGTAACACCACCAGAAGCTCACCCGAGCAGGCAGGCAAGCACATGGACCCGAGCTCCATCCCCTCAGTCCTGGAATGTTGAGACATTAGTTATCCAGATAAGGGGCCAAGTCACGGTTTCCCAAAGTGTGTTCCATGGAACCCTCATTTCAAGCCATGAATAAATCAGTTTGAGAAGCATCCTTCTGCATACTTCCTCTTAGGGAGTTACGACATACATTAATATTTTAAAGGCTGCTCTGAGAAGTCCTGCAGTCAAGAAACCCACTTCACTTTGCTGAATTGGTTGTTAACCATGGGAGGTCTCTCTGTGGTATACCCCTATGAACTATTTTATCCCAGAGAATGCTGGAGAATGCTGGTCTAAAATATAATGCCAATGAAGGCAGAATCATGTGTTTGACCTCCCTTACAGACCAGGGAAAAGCTATCCCTTAGCCACAGACTGGCTTTGGCCTTGACCAAATGTTACACACATTGGTTCAAAGGAAACTTAGCAGGAGAGCAAGAATTGCTCAGATCTTCCCTCCACTCTGCCCACACTGATTAGAGTCCTTTTCGTAGAGTTCATTTGTTCTTAATGACATGGAATTTTAAAGAAAACTATTAGAAATCCTCAAGATATCTTTTTGCTTCATTCCTGCCCCATCCGCCCTGACTCCAACCTTGACTTTTAAAAAATCTGCTCTTTGCTCTGGTTAAGACCTCTCTCTGGGCTGGACTGGCTCTGGCAGTGGGAGGATACAGCCAGGGAGGTCAGGCTGGGGAGTGGGGAGGCGAAACGATCCGCCCATACATGTCACAGTGTCCTCAGCTGTGCTCTGGCCCCCTGCTGATGAGAAGGACCCCCCCATTATCCACTGGTGTCTAAGAATCTCTCTCACTCCTGGCACTGGGGTCTCATCAGCAGTTGATAAAACTAGAGACCAGCCGTCTTTTGCGTGGCTTCATTTATACCTCACCCAGCCTGCCCCTTGGAGGGGGTTCTGCTGTGTGAATAAGGAATCTCGCTTCCCTGGTACCTGTGTGGGATGTCCAAACCCCAGAAGACCAGAAGTCGTTTCAGGGTGCTTTGGAAGGGCTTAGGCAGAGCCGGGAGCTTGCCTTTTGTAGGGTGGGAAGAATAACCACATCAGGAGGAGTCAGGAGGCCCACCTGGACCTTCTCCCTGAGCTGCCTGCCCCACGGCTTCCTCTCTTTTTCGGGAGCCACACCAGAGGCTGCACCCCTGACTCCCGCGGCAGCGAGCCTGCTCCATACCTGTGTTCCGCCCCACTCCTGCCGTCTCATCAGATAACTACACGGGCTGGCCTTTTCTCAGGACAGGCTTTCCCCCACTCTGTCCGTGACCTCTTCGCCCTCTTTGCCAAGGCCCCCCCCGTGATTGTGCGTCTGGGGCAAGACGCCGGCGGGCCGGCCCCGGGCCGCCCTTGCTCACCACCTCCCCTCCCTCCTGTTCTCAGGGCGGAATGTTTGCAGCGGGGTGTCTCCCCCTCCAAGGCCCACGGCCTGGGCTCCAACCTGGTCACTGAGGTCCGCGTCTACAACTGGTTCGCAAACCGCAGGAAGGAGGAGGCATTCCGGCAGAAGCTGGCCATGGACGCCTACAGCTCCAGCCAGACGCACGGCCTGAACCCGCTGCTCTCCCACGGCTCCCCGCCCCACCAGCCCAGCACCTCCCCTCCCAACAAGCTGCCAGGTAAGCCGGGCCCCAACGCCTCGGCAACCAGACCCTCCGGCTTCTCCCCACGGCTCTCAGGGTGTCTCAGAGGAGGCAGTGCTTTTGGATGGTCCTAGGGCTGGCCTCCTCCTGCTGCTGGAATATTCTCGTGAGAAGAGCGTGTGGCTCTAGTTGGGTTTGCTCTAACTCCTCGCTCGGCCTCCGGGGAGCCCTCCGCCCGCCTCGTTCTTCTGCAGGCTCCTCTCTCCTGCCCTTGCGGCTGCTGACTCAGCGGGTCAGGGCCGCCACCGGATGAGACGGAGCAGGCTGCCTCGCGGGTGTGCCCGGTCCACGCCGCAGGCAGAGGGGTCGCCCCTCCGCCCCATCCAGGTGCACCCCCAGGGCTCTGTGCAGCTGCAGCGGGAGGAGCCCAGGGCCCTCTGGGGAAGGGCCACTCTGCTTGCTGGCGTCTGTGCTCCGCAGAGTTAGGGCGGGGCGGGTCACTTGAAATCTTGGCGGCGATGAGTTGGCCAAAATTGGTTGAGTACCTGTGTGTGCTGCCGTGTGCCAGGCCCCCGGCCGGGATTAGGTGCCTCTGCTCTGGGCTGTGGGCTTGTCAGGATGGAATCCTACACCTTCCTGGTGGGAAAGCACCCCCCTAGGCTGAGGGCTGCCTCGGGCATAGGCTGGGGATGGGATGAGTACGTCTTCGCCTGGGGCTTCGTCCTCCCAGGAAAGCCGGCTTCCCGGAGTGGATGTGTGTACTGAGGTCAGTTTGGTGCCTGTGTAGACAGACCGCGGCACAGCCTGCTGCCTGCTCTGGAGAAGGGTTTGCAGAAGGAGAGCCGAGCACCATTTCTAACTCGGGGGACGGCTCTGAAACTGCTCGTCCCCTCGCCTGCTGGTTGCCCTTCTGATGGGAGAGGCCTGAGACCTGGGCGCCGACCTAAGTGCTGGGGGCACAGGCTCAGAGCCAGCAGCTGGGCCGTCTCCAAGCATCTGTTCCACACTGCACCTCATCTGCCCAGCATGACCCCTTCAAGTGTCTCTGGGAGCCTGCTACTGTCCAGCGCGAAGCCTGGGGGGCCAGGGAGGGGAGCTTCTCTGGGTCCCGTTGCCACGGAAGGGGAGGGCTCAGCCACATGAGAAGAAAGTTGGGGTTACTCTTGAGAGGGAGACAAACCTCCAGATGAACGCTGGCCTGACACTGGCAAAGTAACTACCCCTGTGCAGTAGTAATCCCTGGATCTGGAGCGGGGAGCTCCCGTGGGGCGTGGCTGGGGTTAGGGGCGTTACTGAGAAGACAATGGCTATTGTGCTGGGACCTGTGATCTCCACACCAAAGTCAGGGAGCCTGCAAGCCAAACAAAGGCCCGGCAGCTTTCTGACAAGCTGGGGTTGTGGTGAGGTCACCAGGCGGTTGTTGGCTTAGGCATTCTGTATGGTGACAGGAGACCCAGAGAGGCGGGGCTGGAGGGGCTGGAGCAGGTACTAGGGACAGGGCAGGGGTCGGGCGGGAAACACGGCCCTGAGACACCACCGAGCCCTCTGAGGAGGCGTATCCCACTGGAAGTGGATTCTCTAGGGTCCCCGGAAGTTGCAACCTTTTTATAAATCAGTGAATATTAGAACCGGGAGGAACTTGGAAGAAGGAAACTGAGGCCCAGAAAGAGGTAGTGACTTTGCAGAGTTCCACAGGGCGACGGTAGCAAAACAAGGGCTAGAACCCAGGCCTGCCGATTCCCACCCTGTACTTTCCCACAGCACAGACAGGCGCTGAGTCTGGGCACCACGTTGGTGATGAGTAAGACATGCACGCGTCTCTGCCCCTGGGGGCTTATGGTCTAGTTGGGAAGACCTCCTGCTGCCGTAGAGTCCCTAGAACTGGCTGGGGATCAAGGTTATCTTTGGGGAATTTGTGCGTCTTTCTAGCTATTTATGGAGCAATAATTATGGGCCACTGTGTATTTTCAGTGGCTACCTTCCCTTCTCCCTTAATTTTCATTCAGGGTTCATCAAAATAGTCCAGGGACTGATTCTCTGGACTTAGTTTTGAATCCTGATTCTAACCTGGTTCTCATTCCCATAACTGCAGTGTGGTCAATTCACATAACTTCTCTGAGTCTGAGTTTCCTGTCTGTAAAATGGAGATATAGTACCTACCTCATAGGGGCCATGTGAGAATTAAACGAGAGAGCGTGTAAACACCATCTTTCCCCATAAACCATAACTACTATTATCATTATTATTATCACAGAAGGCTAAACAAGCGGCAGTGGAAAGAGTGACGGGCAGTAGAAATCTATTTCCTTTTCAATTTCATACACGGGCATTGTTCCTAAGAGGCAGTGAGGTGTGTTCCGGGGCTGGGGTGCAAATGCTGCGATCAGGCCCTGGCCCCCTCGCAGACTGCTGGTGGAGGCAGCGCATGGGTTGTGACAGGCTCCTAGGGAGTGCACCCAGGGCCAGCCTGACGGCAGGGAAGGTTTGATCTGAACTTCTCACGATATATTTCCCAGCATGGTCCCTACAACCAAGGTATGGTCTCTAACCAAGCCCCAAACCTACCTGGATGCAGAAAAGGGCTCTGTGGTGGCCGAGGAGAAACCAACAGCCCGAGTCAGCACTAGCAGCCCCTAAGGCTGAGCTGGGGAGATGAGGTCCCCACCCCCTCCCCACTTTCCCCTCCAAACACCAGTCTCTGAGCCAGGAGGACAGGAGGCACCTTTGAGACAAATCTTTCCCTTGACCCCTCTTCCTGGAGAGGAGAGCATCCCTTCTGTACCTGAGCCCCTTCCCTCCCAGCCACGCTTACGGTGCTGTGGCCCACTTGCCCACGGTGACCACAGTGTGACCCTGGTCCTGGAATGTCCAGCACAATAGGAGTGGCAGAAGGAGCCCTTTGCCTCTGTCAGCAGAGGCTGATTGGTTACAAGGTGCCCTACAAACACACGGTCAGCAGAATCAGCTGTTTTCAGCGTCGCCCCTCCCGCCTTTACAATCACACGCCAGCATGCAGCCCGGGGTTGTCATGGCTTTGTCTTCCTCATGCATGCTTAATTGACAATTAAGTTGAGTCTTTGAACCAGCCTGGCTGCCTCTGATGGGGCTTCATCTTTCCAGTGAGTGTCACAGGGGCACCCTTTGTTTGCTCTTCTTGGGGGCCTGGAGTTACTGTAGCAGGCTGCGGGCAGCCATTTATCTTCAGCCGGGAAGGCCTTTATCTGCACCCCCCATCCCAGCTCTCGCCAGCAGGAGCTGTCCCTGGTTATAGGCCCTGTGACAGCCTATTCTGAGGCCATTGAGCAGGCCCGGAGTGATGGCCCCGACCTCCATTCTGGAGCGGAATCAAGAGAAAGGCCCCCCAAAGGTCAGAGAGCAGGGCTGTGGCCAGGAAGCAGACTGGTTGGAGACTGGTGCCTGTATTGATCAGCCCGAGGAGGAGGAAGTTGGCGTGGGATGGAAGCTGGGCTAGCCTTGGCCCAAGCCCTGGGATCGGCTGCACGATCTGCGGTGGCCTTGCGTACTGTCCCCTTTGCTCCAGTCTGTGGCAAACTCGCCTGGTCGCCTCCAGCAAACTCACCTGGCCGCCTTGCGACAGCAAGAGAGGGCCAGAGGTCTTCATCAGCCTTCATTCACCCCACACCTAATGTCCTCCCTCTTGTATCATCTTTCGAGAAGGAGGTAGAGGCTCATTCTCCTAGTAAGAAAGTGAGGCCCAGAGGCGAGAACAAGCCCTACCAGGATAACCTTTGGATGTCCTGAGCCACGCAGCCTCTTTACCCAAGTAGAGGAGACGTTTATTTCTGTGGCTGCTTTCTCCTCACTCCCTTCAAATTCTACTCCTGCCTCTCCAAGCCCAGGAGCTGTGATTGCCCCCATGGTCAGATCAGAGCTTGAGGACCTGAGAATCCAGCCTCCTGCCTCCCCCCGAACCCCTCTTACATCTCCTCCTAACTTGCCTGCAGAAATCTAACCCTGGGTCTTAGACAAACCAGACTCTGGGCCAGGATATCATGTGGTCGCTGTGGTTTTCCCTGACACTGAAACCTGCAGAACCCAAGGAAATCTCAAAAGTGCCCAGTGGTGGGGTCGTGAGTAAGTCTGAACAATGAGAACAGCTAGTGCTGATTGAGGCTTCCTGGGTACCAGGCCCTGGGCTGAGTACATGCATCATCTTATTTAATCCTCACAACTTTGTAGGGTAGACACCATCCATAACCTTACCCCTTCTTTTACAATCAAGGAAGGTGAGATATTTTGTATGTCAGTAATTTGCCCAAGTTCATATAGTTTGTAAGTGGCAGAGACAGGTTTTGAGCTGTTACACACTGACTTTCACTTTGCTTTATGCAGATGCTAAGGACTTTCAGGCATGGAAATCAACACACACACACACACACACACACACACACACACACACACAATCCTCCCACAGTTCCTGCTTCTCCTATATTCTTACTGTTCCCCTCTGAATGACAAAGGGGCTTTGCGAGGTGGGTTAAGGGTGGGGTCTCCCAGTCTGGCTAGTTTGCTGCTTCCGCCTCCCTCTCAGCCTCCCCCCACCCCGCCACCAACTGTTGCCCCTGACCAAGGTGGATTCTGTGCCCTGCCCAGGGAAGAAATCAAAGCCCCCTCTTTCACAACCCCATCCCCATCTGGGTGGGGATTTGAACTGCCCTTGCAGTCGGCACCGTCTGGGGCACTAAATGCCTTAACAACTTAATGGGGCTTCTGAGACAGTGCAGGCACCTCAGCTCACCTCTGGAGCCCCGCCCACTCCCTGGGCAGCAGACGAGTGGAGGGGGTTTATGAGGGCAGTTGTAAAAATATTCATCTCCGCAGCAAAGACCCCCACAGTAAATAAGCCCCATTGTCCCTAAGTAGTAGGTTCTTTGAGTTCAGAAGAGAAACAGATCCTGCCTTGAGTCATCTGCTATTGTAGAAAACACACTTATACTGATGTGGAGTTCAGTGGCGGCCACGGCTCCAATGTTCTCCTTGTAGGGACTTTATCTGACTGCCATTTTATCTGTTGA